TTCATCAACAGCCAATACTAGTCCACTGCTGGACATAGGCCTCTCCTTAGAAAGGAGGTTTTGGCCTACTATACCACGCTGGCCAGACGGGTTGGTATAGGGTTTGTTTCAAGTTTTCCTTCTTTTTGCAGTGTAGTTGTCCTGCTTAGTTTGCTCCCTTAGTCGGCTCTTAGGACACCCACGGGATGAATTGGGGTGGTGACAATTTGTATTCTTAATCCGTCACCACAGGGACAACTTTCATTTCATTCACTGTTAGATATATAATATAGTAATAGAAAATAACAATTGAATAAATTATAATAATAATAGAATTTTATGATTGTAATCAGGCTAACAATATCCTAATGCCTCGTGGGTACGTCTATAAAGGTTGCCTTTGTTACTACAATCTCAGCATAATCTCAGCATTATCGCTAACAGCCTTTAGTACCTAGTCCACGGACTGGACATTCAACTGCACGGATGGCGTAGTGGTTTAAGCGGTCGCCACGTCGCTTCCTACTACGCTGAGTGTTGTGGGTTCGATCACATTGGACGACACTTTGTGTGATCCACAAATTGTTGTTCTGAGTCTGGGTGTTCTTTGTGTCCGTTTCATGCATGTTTGTAAAGTCCCCCGCGACACAGGATATATTCCTAATGCGAGTTGTCTTTTTAAAAGATAAAAAAGAAAAAATTGAAGAAAAGCGTTGGGTGCCTGTTGTGAATAGTAAAAAGCACCCCACGCTTTTTTTCAAATTTATTTTCTTTTTTTTAGTTTGGTTTTCTATAGAAAGCGTGTTTTTTTTTTTTTAATTAGTGTATTGTCATCAGTTCTCGATATATCTACAAAGTTTGAACGAATTCTGACCGTTTAAAGTCAGTCAAAATCACGCCCAAAGGAGTCGTTTACAAACATACAAGTGAAGCTAATATAAAGCGTGTAAAAAAAAATAGACCTCTCCTTAGACATGAGGTTTAGATTATAATCTACCTCTGAGCGAAGTTACATCTCGAACCGTCCACCCGGTATAGCCATACCACATGTAGTATTTACAATATTTTAACTGTATCATGCAAAATAGTGTACACATTACACAGTGTTTCACAAACTACGTGCTACCCTATTTATGTCTTGCACACTCATCGTCGTTCGCTCTGATTGAGTGCGCGACCTTATTTAGATAGTTTCGTTCGGAAATTGAACCGAGCCTTCTAAGAACGATTAAATGAACGTTCTACTATAGTGTGCATCTTGTATGTGTAAAATATATTTCTGAACGAATTAAATGGAAAAGCATTGTAGGAGATATTTGCTAATGTGTGAGGTGTGGGAGAATCATGCTTCGGCATAAATGGGCCAGGTTCGACCGGAGCAAACCGGTGTTAAGCAGTTCTTTAATTACTTTTAACGGGAGAAAGTGACCACTGGAGTCCCTGATTCTGGGGCAGGGCGGCATAGCACATAATTTTGTTAATTTATTACTTAAATCTATGTCCCAGCACTATTTTTTAGTACCTATACTTCATGTCCTCACAAGTCCACCTTAAATATTTGATAATTAACTCAAGTCCAAAGCTCTAGAGCCTGTTAAGTTGGTTTGTGTACGCTTCAAAAACTCAAAAATATCAGCACAAATTTTCACACGATGTACAACCCGCATCAAAGAGGTAACGCATTTAAATCATAGTATTATAGAACTTAACATGGACACATCGTTCCAAGTTGTAGTTTGATATCCAGAATCTGACTCCAGGTTATACAAAGGTCAAGAGTTCCCCGTATTTTAATAAGTTCTAACTATATTTTCCATCAATTTTTCGCGTCAATATCATACAATGCCACAGCAAAGCGTGGCAGGGTACAGCTAATATTTCATGTTTCTATTCAGAAGTTTAATTTGAGCAATAACAGCATTAAAACATTTAACTTTAGTAAAGACAGTTTAAATTAAACAGGTCAATAAAATAAAGACATTTAAAACGGTCCATAATAAAATAAAAACACACCCTATACCAACCCATTTGGGCAGCGTGGTATCGATGGCCAAAACCTCCTTTCTAAGGAGAGGCCTATGTCCAGCTGTGGACTATTAGAGGCTGTTGATGGGATGTAATGTGATGTGAAAACGGTCCAAATTAGACCACTAGACGAACTATAGTCATTATTTAAGTAAACACGCACAGACAGGAATGTCAAATTTTAATACTAAAAGTTTACACGTTTCAACGTGTAAATTTCTGTGCAGAAAGCTAAAATGTTTACACAATATAAAAGACAGAGAGAAAGAATATTATTTATTCCAAAAAACACAACATACCTACAGAAACAATAATAACGTTTGAAAAACGTTTTAAAATGTTTGATACATACATTAACAAGATAACTTTTTTCAATGTGTCATTATAAAACTGACAGAATTGACATGACACGTTGATGTGCCACGTAAATCCGTGTGGTGACGGATTAAGAATACGGAGTGTCACCACCTCAATTTATCCCGTATGTGTCGTAAGAGCCGACTAAGGGACCAAACTACGCAGGACAACAAACCTCCTTTCTAAGGAGAGGCCTATGTCCAGCAATGAACTATTAAAGGCTGTTGATGATGAACTTTCAGACAATAAAAGTATTAAAATATTTTAACTCGGCACACTTCACTCCGTCCTACAAAAGCTATATTCATATCGTAGTTTTTTCAGTATACAGCTGAACACTTTTTCAACTTTCCTCCCATATGAGATGATTTTCCTAGCCTTTACACTCCATACACGTAACCAACCTCGCGTCTGTAAAATGTTACATTTGTGTGCTACAAAGTTTCAACATAAGTAAAAACCACTATATAAAACTTGATATAAAATTGATTCTTAACGACTTGATTTGTTAATTATAATCTATAGTCCATCAACGTCGTGCGCGACCGTCCTGCGGGGTGACAGACGGTGGCGGGGACGAGGTACTCAAGATGTCAGCGGGTAGCGGGTGGTGTAGCGGGGAAGGGAATCGTGTGTAGCCGTGTGCTAGGATGACGCGCTACCTCGCCCCCGCCACTGTCTGTCACCCCGCGGGACGGTCGCGCACGAGATTGCCGGGTTATAGAAACGTATCTATTTTTTTTCAATCTTGTTAGAGGAAATGGTTTGTTACAATAAAAAGGGTCGCGTATTTACTACTACTGGTGAAGCCCATTATAAGAGTTTTTATCACAATCATTACAAAGATTGTAAGTACGTTTTATTATAAAAGTAAACCTAAACTTTTATTGGATAAATTGAGTGCGGAACCGAATCCATTTTGGACGGCAACAAGTTTCAATTTTCAATTAATTTCGTTTTTAATCATTTTAGGGATCAAGTTTATTGACGTGGCGAATCATTTTAAGATCAGATTACATTAGAAAAAAGGGTTATAGCGTTATGTTTAGAAGTAAGTCTGGTAACAATCCTAGATTAATTTTTTGGAATATTAAAAAGATACAAGATTTTTTTTATAAAAAGGTTAAACCGACTTCAAACAAAGAGCACTAAAAACCTAGCAGGAATCGTGGTTGATTTGCTGTCAATTTTTGTAAGAGTTCCGTTGTCTTTCTCCGAAACTTATCATCAACTTATATGAAATTTAAATGGGACCTTTTCAGATTATAACCTTTTCGAATAAAAAAAAGAATTTTTTAAATCCTTCTATATTTGACGGAGTTAGGCCCAAACATATTTAAAAAAAAAACACCCGAATTAATAAAATCCTCTTTTTTAAAGTCGTTTAATTAATGGTTACTATAGTTTATCCTTGGATAGACATATACCATTATGGACTTTTTTTGTAGATCGTTTTAAGATATACAATTCCGTAGTACATAATTTTAAGCACGCAAAACTATGTGTTTTTAAGACAAATCTCAATTCTCGGATTGTCTTTTCTATAATATGCATGTATTATACATATAAACCTTCCTCTTGAACCATTCTATTGGTGAAAACCGTTGCTGAGTTTAAAAGATCTCAGTACAACATAAAGAAGCGACTTTATTTTATACTATGTAAAGATAATGACGTCAATAGAACGATGAGTTTATGGTTTATGTAGGTAACAAAACGTTTTTTCTGTGTTTCTCTGTTGTTCTAACAATACGTCGCCTTTCGAATATTTAGTAACAAATGTGTCCAATTGCTTAGTTATAAGTTGTGTTGTTTACGTGCAAGTATTTTTCACATTACATATTAACCTTTCACAGCCTTTAACAGTCTCCTGCTGGATATAGGCATCTCCTTAGAGAGGAGGTTTTGGCATCCTATACCACCACAAACCTCCTTTTAAAGGAGAGGCCTATATCCAGCAGTGGACTATTAGAACAAACAACACCAAGACACTTCATGGATCACACTATTTCGCGCCATGTGCTAATACATTATAATAGGTCTTTACCTATGAAATTGCCGTTTTGTATGCAATAAGTGAAAGTACTTATTTTTTTAAACTTTTTTATTTCTGTTTTTCGAAGTAATCACCCATGCAATCGACGCATCTTTGCCAACGCATTGGCAGTTTATTGATGCCCTTCTTGTAAAAATCAGCTGGACGGGAGGCAACAAACTCTTCAAAGGCATTTTGTACTGCCTCTCGGGAATTGATTTTTTTACCCACTAAAAAGTTGACTAAATTTTGGAAAAAGTAATAGTCGGTAGATGCAAGGTCTGGTGGTCACATCTGCAACCAGCTTTGGTCAATCGGTCGTCCCCACTGCTCCTTCACGACAACGCGCGACCCCATACTGCGCAACAGACAGTCTCCAAGCTGCAAGAGCTGGGGTTGGAAGCTCTCCCTCATCCGCCATACTCACCAGACCTCGAATATCAGAAATAAAAAAGTTTGAAAAAATAAGTACTTTCACTTATTGCATACAAAACGGCAATTTCATAGGTAAAGACCTATTATTTATAGTGGTAACTGTATTCAGTATTAAGTTAGTACGTAAAAAGTACTACTTAGTACTTTGTTTAAATAAAATTTATCACACCTGCAATATTATATCCAGGTCGATGTTATCGCACACTTCGTACTCGCCAGTCAGCGCTGCTTCGAAAGCGAATGTCTCCGCAGTGGCGAAGTATCCTTCCTGCTTCAGGTAGCCGAGCACTAGGTATTTAAGGATACGTTTCCGAGCACGGAACAAAGCTTCTTTCTGCAAAAAACAAAAGATTTTTATAAAATATGAAAACAAACAAAGTAAAGCAAAAACATTTTTTTTACAAAATGGATATAATATCAATAGGATTGACATAAATATATATTTTTATTAAATTAATTAATTGACGTTTCGTAATTTCCCGAACGCTGCCCAGCCGAGTCGGATTCGACGATTGACCTCTTTCTCGAAGTTGGTCTTACCTAATTGGACCGTTTGTCCTAGGTAGACATATTCGAGGACATAACAACTTCGAGGACAGAGTTTCACGTCCAAAATACCTCAGTGCCTAAAGACGAAATGCTTCAACCAGTGTGTGTTACCAGTGGTGACCTACGGAACTGAGACGTGGTCTCTTACTATGGGCCTGCGTGATCGAATCCACAACGAGGAGATCCGCAGGAGAACAAAGGTGGTCGACATAGCCCAACGGATTAGCGCGCTCAAGTGGCAATGGGCAGGGCACATAGCAAGGAGAACTGACGGCCGATGGGGCAGCAAGGTTCTCCAATGGAGACCACGTACTGGAAAGCGCAGTGTGGGACGACCGCTTACCCGATGGACGGACGACCTGGTAAAGATTGGCGGAAACCGTTGGATGCAGGCCGCAATCAACCGTCCCCGCTGGAAATCATTGGGAGAGGCCTATGTCCAGCAGTGGACAAGCATAGGCTGAGGTATATAATTAATTGACTGCACGGATGGCGTATCCGCTAAGCGGCCAACTCCTACTGCGCTAAGTGTTGTTGGTTCGATCCCTACGTTGAACAACATTTTGTGCGATCCACAAATTGCTGTGTTAAGTCTGGGTGTTCTTTCTGTCCGTTTCATGGACGTCTGTATAGTCTCCCGGGACCTTCGTTCATACCTTCATTCCTAGTGCAAGAGTTGTCTTTTATAAAAACATCGTCTGAGGCACTATAACTTCCAAAAATACTTATTAATATAAAATGGACGATTAATTTGACGTTTTTTAATCCCCAACGCAAAAAGAGGGGTGTTATAAGTTTGTCTGTGTCTATCTGTGGCATCGTAGCTCCTAAACGAATGGACCGATTATGATGCGGTTTTTGTTTGAAAGCTGGGGTGATCGGTTCTTAGCTATAATTTGTGAGGATCATCAGCTCATTTCTAAGTTAACGAAGGGGTCATACTCACTTACACAACTCCGATTGATCTGAAATTAATGGTGGTATCGGGGATTTAAAATATTTAATACAACAATACCAAAAGTACCACTGCACAATTTTCGTCTAAATACGTAAAATTACATTTAATACAACATTGGCGGTTAAAGACTTAGAAATTATTAAAGAAAAATTACTACCCAGAACAAATATTGTGTGATAAGCACGGTCTTTTTTTCTATGTCTAGGTGTAATTTTTCTATAATATCTATGTATTTAAATATATATATATGTATGTTTATCAGTAGTCTGGTTGCCATAGTACAGACTCTGCCTAGTTTGGGATCAAACGGCCGTGTGTGAGATGTGTGAGATATATTATTCTTATATTTGCCATCCTCGAAATACACTATAAGTACACTGCATACAATATACAACGTTCATATTGTCATATAAATTAAGTTTCCAAACCACAAAGAATCCAGAAAGCGCCAAGTAGGTTACCGATACTCTTAAAATGTGTGCCCTATTTATTACGATCTATGTTATAAAGGCCAACTCTAGTAACCGATTGTAGAAAGAAATAAAACTATTTTCGTTTATTTTCGCTGTTTACCCACGGTGGTTGACGTGGTCTCACCCCGGCTCTCTGTGATCATGGCTCTCAAATAATAAAAATATACTGTCTTTCTTACATTATTTTACAAAACCACTTTTTTATTATAACACGCACTTTAAAAAGCATAAAAATAAATAAAAACAATTTCTAATATATGTATAACCTACAATATTCACACTTTGATGTCATAATAAAAGTTTAAATTGTAATTGATCGAAACACCAGACTTACACTCTCAAATTTTCTCATTTGACTCATCGGCGCCTTGACTCCGGCCATTTGTTATTTCTCACAAATATATTTCAATCGTCATTCACCAAAAATAACTAACAATAAATATTTCAAAAAGCCAATATTTCTAAACACCGACAACTTAATTGGTTGCTAAGGTACCGGTCGCCGTGGCAACCAACTGATAAACAACCCCTGAAAAGGTCGAACGCTTTATTCGATTAATATATTTTTTTAATTTTCCCCCACCCTATCCTCAAATAACATAAGTCGTGTGTAAAGTTTTACAGCGACAGCCTTTAATAGTAGACTGCTGGACTATATTGACCAAAACCTCTTTCTTAAGGAGAGGCCTATGTCTCTCCTTACAAAGAAGGTTTAGGCCTACTATAACACACTGGCCAGACAGGTTGTTATAGGGTTTGTGCTGTGGCGACTCCGACATACAAAAAACAGAAACATACCGCCCCACTGTGGAGGAACGGGTGTCATGTCCCTCCAACACAAAGGGAGGATCCTCCGACCAGGCGAAGTTGTATATATGCTAATCGGCGAGGGAATTCTTTATATCGCGATACAGGATTAGCAATTCTTATTTTAGTAGTTACTCTGTAGTTCGGTGTGTCTTCATTAGATGGCGCTGTAGTATGTTTCTGTTTTTTGTATGTGGGAGTCGCCACAGTGCCTTTCCTTTTCTTTGCAGTGCCGTTTACCTAGTTTGCTCCCTTAGTCGGCTCTTACGACACCCACGGGATGAAAAGGGGTGGTGACACTCCGTATTCTTAATCCGTCACGACACGGACAGACGAAATATAGTTTGTTTTATTATTATTAAATAATTTTTCTAATGTCAAATACCTACGTTTGTGATAAAACGAAATACTGGATTCATTTTATGGTATTCAGTAATTACTTTTTTTCAAGACATTTCACATAGTCGAAAGTTTTATTATCGATAGATAAATACTTGGTTTTATATATTCTTTCGTATTTCATATTTGATCATCATCATCAACAGCCTTTAATAGTCCACTGCTGGACATAGGCCTCTCCTTAGGAAGGAGGTTTGGCCTACTATACCACGCTAGCCAGACGGGTTGGTATAGGGTTTGTGTCAAGTTATCCTTCTCTTTGCAGTGCTGTTGCCCTGCGTAGTTAGCTCCTTCAGTCGGCTCTTACGACACCCACGGGATGAAGGGTGGTGACACTGTATTCTTAATCCGTCACAACACGTTGTCATATCTGATACAAATTGGTAATTTTATAATTTGTATTTAAGTCTATAATTAATAATTAATATCTCTGCCTGGCGCAGTGGCTTCTCCATAAACTGGACTGACATACGCGTACGTACGCGACCGGGGCCTCTTCGAGCTTCGACCTTCAAACCTTAAAAAAAAGAGCATACTGGTTCCTCAAAGGCCGGCATCGCGCTTGTGACTCCTGAGTTGCAGACGTTCATGAGCGGCGGTAGTCACTTTCCATTAGGTACCCGTTTAGTCGTTTGACTTATTATCTATAAATCTAAAATATAATCGTTGAATATTTTTCACTTAGATTATTTTGTAAACTCTTCCAGTAAAAAGTAAACGATTTAAAAATTGCGTAGATTTCAAACATTTTTTTTTAATGGCAACTATAACTTTAAAAGTAAAACGTCGTTTATATGCCATCATTGTGTATGTCTATGAAATATACTGTTTATTCTTGTCAATACTGTTTTTCTCATAGTTTGAAGTATGTTATAAATACCATTAATATTAAAAATGCGAGTTTGTGAGGATGGATAAACGAATCTGGATAAAATGTTTTGAACAGGTACATTACAGTCTAGAATAACATATAAGCTAGTTTTTAATAGGGCAACATTGATTGATATTATTTATACTACTTACCCTGATATAGCCGAGGTTGAAATTTAGTATAACATTAAATAAAATGATTTGTCTTTTTTTGTTTATAGTATAAGGGGACAAACGAGCAGACGGGTCACCTGATGGTAAGCATCTACCCGCAAAATTCACAAGAGCGTTGCTGCCCTTGGAGGGGGGATTAGGGCTCCGGTAACCCCACTCACTCAGTGAAAGGCAACGAAAGAATTGCTTAACACCGGTTTTCTGTGAGGCCGTGGTATCACTCCAAATATCGTATCAACGCCGTTCAAGTCGAGTATAAACACAGATTACCCCTTACCAATAAAAAAAAAGTTATGAAAGTAAAAACGGTTAAAGTAACAACAGCTTTTTTAATAAATTCAAAATTGGAACATAATAAAAAGTAAAGTCACCCATGACAAAGCGATCCGACTCATCGCAATAACTGACGTACCTTTTAATAAATAGGCATTTCGAACACAAGTAATTTAAAAAGCATTTTTTTTTAAATACAACTTCCGCACTAGGAATATATCCTGCCTCAGTAGGCAACAGCGAGGTGACCGCTTAAACCAAAACCGCAATGGGCTTTTGGTTTTTTTTTTATTTACAAGTACAAGCGTGTTCAAGCCAAGGCAGTACTTAGATCGGTGATGAGCTGCGACAGGCTAAGGGCCGTATACACTCGTAGGTGAGCACGTCCACCCACACAGGAGGGTCATCTACCCGCCGTAGATGCCCCGAGCTACGTCGGGGTACCAGGGATTTCCTTTCTAGGGTACACCTGGTTCCCCGGCTACAGTGTACCCGAGATGGCGTGCGGTTTTTAGTCGGTTCGAGTCCGACTTAGCCAAGAAAAAAAAAAGCACGTCCAACATCTTTTTTTGGACGAGGAGTATGATACGAAGAAACCACTGAAAACGGCTTACCTTTCATTTGTAATCAAGTTATTTTTTAAGCTTTGACACATCTCAAACACGGCCCTTTGATCTCTAATTGGATAGAGCTTGTGCTGTGGTAATCAAACAGATAATAAACTTAAGTATTACAGACAAATTATACTCAGATATAGAACAAATGACCTGTTCATTACACAATTATTTTCCAATGTGGGAACCTACGGAATCAGGGTGCAAATTTAGGAACATTTATCACTCGATCATGCTCACCTATGCATTTACAGCTGGTACTGCTATATTTTTTTACAAATCTAGATGTCATTTAACGTAAATGGCATCTAGAGCCATTTAACGTAATGGCATTTAAAGTAAATGGCATCTAGATCCATGCGTTAAATTTGATCAAGATTATATTATGTTATTCGTGGCCCAAAACAGAATAAAAGCCGCAAACTGCATGCGGCACTAATAGAAAACCGCAGACCGCAAAATTAGTGGAGAAGTAGACCGTAGAGTAGTCTCACATGTCGTAACTCCACAAATCACAATAACAAATACATTTCTTACAACATCTTTACGAAAACAAGTACAAATGAGGCGATAATTGTTTTTATATTACTCCTCAGTTTATTGTCTGTATACACCCTTATTACACACCCTTTCTACTCATAACATCACATCACACATCAACAGCCTTTACTAGTCCACTGCTGGACATAGTCCTCTCCTTAGAAACTAGGTTTTGGCCTACTATACCACGCTGGCCAGACGAGTTGGTGGTGTCAAGTTTTCCTTCTTTTTGCAGTGCTGGTGTCTTGCGTTGTTTTGCGCCCTTAGTCGGCTCTTACGACACCCACGGGATGAATTGGGGTAGTGACATTCCGTATTCTTAATTACAAAAAGCTCGTTAGGATCTTATAATTAATAATAAAAAGATAGGGCGCTTACACTTTCTTCTAAGGTTCCACGGTTTGATCAAATCAAACGGTTAAAATTTACTTAAAATGTTCAATTTTAATCATCAGTAACGTCAAGTATCATCTGTCTTTGAAATCATGTTTACGTAAAAATTCACTAGGAGTTTCAGGTGCTTCGAGAGCTATAAAAAAGTCAGGTTGCAGGATTTTCTTGGTCACGTGTTCCGGCAAACAATGGAAAGCTTCCCCCGGCAAGTCATACCGAGAGCGCAGTGCCGCATTCGGGGGCGCGGGGCGGGCGCCGTCGCACCGTGCTGCGGCCGGCGAGCGGCGAGCGTGCGGCGCGCTCGGTGTTACCACTAAACAGTACATTTCCCAAAGTGTGTACATTTCAATATTATTTTTATTCAAAACACTTTTTGAGTTATGTACATTTTGAACGATCACTGAGTTTCCCAATTATCAGGTTTGGATTTTTTGTTTATATACATTTACTTAATTTTTTTATTGTCTTTGTCTAATTCTACGAGATATTTCAATACTAATATTTATGTTGATGAACTTCTGGCCTCATCAGCTTCTCAAACGGTATTCTGATTGTATCAATTGACTTTAGATGCTTTTAACATTAAGATCCATATTTGAGTCCCTCTTCCTTGGTTTTTATCAATACAGCGACTTTTGTGTTAGTAGTTGGCAACGCGGTTCGCGTGTCTACGACAGTCATGCCTCGCGCCGCGCCTGCATCGGGCGCGCTCACCGCCGCTACGCTTGCGGTACTCGCCGCACTCGTCGGTGAGTTCAAATTTCGAATATCAATCATAAATCGAATTTGAATTTTCCTCCGAATGATTAGTGCTTTTTTTTAATAATACTCGTATTAACAACGTATCCATACAGGCGACAGACAATTAAGGAAATTGTCATTTTGAACAAAAAAATGTTTTTGTTTTCATGAGTGCCGCATAAATAATATTACTTATTTATAATTTAATAGATTTGCTGATACATTTTTCATATAATTTTATACATCAACAATGTTTTTTGTGAAGACTTGGTAAGTGAATGACACTTCAATGAAAATATAACATGTAAATACACTAACAATATTAAAAAGAAAGTGCCGTGTATAAACTATTATATTGATAAAAATATATAAGTTGTCCTAATTTAAGTATTTATTGTAAAAAATACGAGGTGAAATTATCGGCAAAGGAAACCGCTTGTTGGCTTTCGACAATAAAATATTCGTACCTACCCATATTCGAGGCAAAGGAATTTCCAAACAAGTCCTAAGCTAACTTAACCTTTTTACAAAGTGACTAACAATTTTCTCTACGGTACGTTGACTTTTTAATTATGGCAATTAGGTTCAATAGGGTGTTCGCGAAGACCTTTTTATTTTTTTAAGTTGTTAAGGAAACGTTATCCATGCTGCTGCTGCCTCTGGTGTCTAAAATATCTTATAATAATATTGCAGATTTCATTTACTTTTATTCAAACTAAGAATTAATGTGATATTAAAACATAGTTGCAGTAGTGGTGGTTGCAGAATAGACACCTGCGTTATAAATGCATTAACTTCACACAAATTGAAACCGGGAATAGAGTTAATATAAGGCCGTACGCGATTCTAATGCATTAAAACTAGCATACGTTGAATATGTAGTCAGCAGAAAATGTAGCAAGTATTTGTTTTTAGAAATTGAGGTCAAATAGGAACAAATGTTTCGGCGCCAGCTTACGAACGGCCTTCTCTGTATTTATTGCCATTATTTTCTTTGCATTACACCCTTGGATATCATATAGCCTTTTGTCTTTGTACCAAATTCAAAAATGGAATCATATGCTTTCTTTTCTTTTTTACTTGTATTGCCAGGATTTAATTACTATTTGTTCTTTTTAATAAGTTTTCGGTAGGTATAGGCTAAAATAGATGCAGGAGTTGGATGCGAGAAGCCGAAGAACAATCAATCGTGCGATTGAAGATGCCTACGTCCAGCAGTAGACTGCGATAGGCCAATGATGATGATGACTTTATGCTAATATGATACCATCAACAGCCTTTAATAATCCACTGCTGAACATAGGCATCTCCTTAGAAAGGACGTTTTGGCCTACTTTACCACTATATAAGAAAAAAAGATAATGAATCTGGTTTTCCCCCATCTTCTATACAAATAAATATATCTTCTATACAAATATATATTGGAGTGTCTGTTTGTAATATTAAAATAACCGCTTTTTACTAAATGCATATGTATGTTTACACGGTACATATGCCAAAATAACATTTTTTTCAATTTTTGTCTGTCTGTCTGTTTGTTCCGGGTAATCTCTGGAACGGCTGGACCGATTTCGACGGGACTTTCACTGGCAGATAGCTGATGACATAAGGAGTAACTTAGGCTACTTTTTTTAGACTAGCTTCGCCCCGCGGCGTTGCCCGCGGTTATAACAACAAACGCGGGTAACACCGCGGGTCTCAGCTAGTGTCAAAATAATATTGATTTTAACCTACTCGTTTATTACGACGATAACAAAAACGACAAATAAAGTTTTACCACCCGGTCGTCGATCTATACTCTGTACAAATAAATAAAATTGAAGTGTTTGTTTGTAATGTCAAAATAATGTTTTTTTTTTCACGCTCACACTGTTATTTGCACGATACCTATGCCTAAAAACCAGTTTAAATATATTTTGTCTGTCTGTCTTTCTGTCTGTCTGTTTGTTCCGGGTAATCTTCTAAACGTTTGGACCAATTTCGATAATATTTTACTACTAGGTAGCTGTCTATATAAGGAATAACTTAGCCTATTTTTCCTCTCAGAAAAACCCTTCAAAATTTTGCTCGGTTCGGACATCAAACCCACTAAGGCAGCGCTTTTCAAACCACGCGAACGAAGTTGCGGACACCAGCTAGTTAGAAATATATAAAAGATTTTTGGGACAAAACAATTCTACTGCAATAAACAAAAAGACGAAGCCATCTTATTATGATTTTTTTTTTTATGTTCGTAAAGGTAAGCCTAAGGTTAACCTTACGGTTTTTCAAGTCATATTAACTTCCTAAATAATTACAATAAATATGTTTTCTTATGTTGTAACACAGAATAGAAAACAAAAATATTATTCTAATAATGTTAAAGACAAATTTAACCGTTAGATAAAAGGGTCACATTCATTTTTCGAAGACATTTGTGGGAAACACATTTCAATATTTATCTCTTTCATCGTCGTAAATTACACAATAACGCAAATTTAATATCAGCATCGGCAAATTGACAATTTTTATATTTATCGCAATCTTTATGGTCAAGATTTGTTTTTTCTCAAATAGTTAACAATGTATTCAGGGAACCCACGATAGGTTATTAGTTTTTTTTCTATTATTGAGAACATATACAGAGGTTGAATTAAAGTCAATGATTATGTTAAATTAAACTTTCAAAATATTAAGTTATTCTATTTTTAAAGAAAACCTAAAGAGGTTTACAATATTTTTTGAATATGTAGTCAGCTGAAACGGCTTCACAGTGAGAGAGCCATGCTTTGCCAAATATGGGCCGGCTCGACCGGAGTGTTACCATTGCCTCACAAAAATTTTAAGCGAGATTACCAGAGCCCAAAGCTCCAGAAAAAGAAATTTGATTTTTTTTGGCCCCATACTCTCGCGGGTGTCCCAAGAACAGCGTACCAATGAGTCGGAACGCATAGCAGACAAACAATTGATTTTAATCTATTGAGATCATCTATTGACCTTTAGCTAGCTTGCACCAGTATCAGGGTTCGCCTGTCCTTTCACTTCTGTTTTTACTATGCCCTTTTATCAATTTTTAAAGTAACAATACCGTATTTGAAAAATTGTTTTAACTTAAATTACACATTTTAAGCTATTGCATAGCTTCTATCGCGGGCGTTGAGCGTGGAGACCGAATCCAGAAATTCCGTAACGAAAATAACCTAACACCCGCCACTCCGACCGGCACAGCGGTGATACTTTTTTAGTTTTGCCATCTATCGATGAATAGCAGAACTTTTAATGACTTTTTGAAATATCACGCTTGTCTCTTTAGTTCAGCAACTCGCCTCTAGGTGGCATTGGTTGTGACGCGGTATTTTCCAGATATTTAGAAGATATCAAGTCTCAAACTTATGTTTCTTATTTCAGTTACCATAAACCTATAGTTTCAATGATAAATATTCCTGAATAACCTACATGTATTGTAAGATAATAAAAATATTTTGAACAATATTTACTTCTAATTTATTTAATAAAAGAAAAAAAATTGTTTTCTTATCGGTCACCACGCTCAAAAAGTGTAACTTGAATTAATATCAAAGAAAAAAAAACAAAGGAAAAAAAATACTGCATAAATAAAATAAATAAATAATTATAATTGCATAAGTTGATAAAAAATGCTATGCAATAGCTTTACCGCGGCAGTCCCCGAGTGCCACACGTCTTATTTATATAAAAACTAGCTGACCCGGCAAACGTTGTATTGCAAAACAAAAAAAATTAGGGATGGGTCACCCTTACCATTTAGGGGTATGAAAAATAGATGTTGGCCGATTCTCAGACCTACCCGATGTGCACACAAAATTTCATGAGAATCGGTCAAGCCGTTTCGGAGGAGTACGGGAACGAACATTGTGACACGAGAATTTTATATATAAGATATGATTTAACTACACATAAGTACATAACAGGTTTGCATGTCAAGTTCACAAATGTCGTTATTTTTTACCCTTCGCCGTCCTTGGCGCTGGTGCTCACATTTATTTAAACTAGAGTTTGCCTAACGTTAATATTCCGACCGTTTGTAATGTTTTATGTTATTTCATTGACCAGTACAACTTGAATTGTCATTGTAGAGACTTTTTAACTATGATGGGTCGAAATACATACCCCTATCGTTTTAAGTAAAACGTATTGTTTAATTTTTTTAACTTTCACATAGTTAACGTATAAACACAGGTATTTATTCCAAATATGATATGTTTCCGTGCGTATTATATATTTGTTTAAAAACTGGTAAGTGTCTACAAAGAGTTTTCTTCACGTATAATATATTTTTAAGATTACTTAGCGGTAATGTCATCATCATCAACAGCCTATAACAGTCCACTGCTGGACGTAGGCCTCTCCTTAGAAAGGAGGTTTCGTTTCGGTTCACGGTAATGTACCTTATATTTATTTTTTATGCACGTATAATAATATTTATCACACATAATTTGTCTGCATGGATGGCGTAGTGGTTTAAGCGGTCGCCACGATGCTTTCTACTACGCTAAAAGTTGTGGGTTCGATCCCCGCATGAGACGACTCTATGTGTGTTCCTCAAATTGTTGTTCTGAGTCTGGGT